AGAGAGAGAGAGATCACATAGCTACTAGTACATACCCTCACCCCCAAGGGAGGACTACTCACACATCACCATGAGAAGAGAGTAAGAGTCGTTGGTGACGGTGATGAAGATGGCGGAGATGTCCCCAACGGTGTTCTGGCGCCACCTGAGGAGAGGGAGAGAGCCCCCTCCTTCATCTTCTTCCTTGACATTCTCCCCTTGTTAGAGGGGTGTATTCCCCTCTGGTTTTGTGGCTATAGTGGTCTCGGGGGCGAGATCCTCCCTCGAGATTGGGTCTCTCTATTTCTTGCCTTCTGTTTTGATATGTTTTCTAACTCATTTCTCCATTTCTTAAAAATATTCGGAGATCTGTAACCCCGACTGGGCTAAAAATTTAAAGGCGGTTCAAAAACTTCCAGAGTTTTCTTGCGGCTTAAGGAGAATCCCCAACCGGCTTCCACAACCTCCAGGCGGGTGGTCCACACGATCATGGGATGCGTGGATGGGCCATGTGGATGTAGGGTCAAAAGAAACAATAAGCAAGTTTCATATCACAAAACTTGACAGAACAAGACCTAAAATATCAGGAGTAACAATGAAATCAAATGGTAGAAAAGTCGTTGCGGTTGGAGTAACGAAATCATAATGTTATTGTAAAGGAAAAAAATAATGAATTGAAGGATGAATATTTCAAAGACGACATAATGTATCATAGAAAAAAAGATCAAATAAAGACTGCAACAATTTGTGATGGGAAAAATGATGGCATAAACTCATGCAGCGATGGAACGTGACGAATTGCTCAATTGACCTCATGAAAAGTAAAATAATTCCACATAAGGAAAAGAAATAGGGAAACAATGCGATCAAAGGATTGAAAGGAACAATGCAGATGACGCGAAAGAGAAGAGTATTGAACGGTCAAATTAGATCATGTGGACCAAGAAAGAAGGTGAACAGTAACATGGATAGCTCAAACAGGGTTGAAGACGTAGAAGAGCGGTTGCACGAAGTATTTGTACAAGATAAACATGTATACTGTCTCATATTGAGAGGGTTCCAAATTTGCAACTATTTTCCGGCCAATTTTAGGCAAAACAACTTTTCAGATCACGGCGCGGATCAGCGGCTCTAGACGGATGCACATGTGCGTGCCCCTGGGATTGCGAGACCGGTAACATATGCAATATATGGAAAAGATATGTACTATTTGACTTTGACCTTTCATACCTGTAAAATAAAGATCCGATTTAATCTGGAATTTTTAGGCCGCCATAAATACTCCCTTCTCTCCGTGCTCATATAATTAGTAACTACTTAATTTGGTATTCACCAGCAAGCAAACAGTCAAGCTTTAGGAAAATCCATCTGATTGATTTAGAAAGAAATTTGTCTAAATCATCTTCTTTCTACTATACACCAGCCCTTCCCACTACCATTTGTACTCCTGATCCACCCCTTTCTCATGGCCCCAAAATAAAATAGGGTAAACAAGGGAAAGAAACGTTGAAAAATGTGATGCTGCGGATGCTATCAGCATACATGTCTCAACCTAATCTGGAGATCTCCCTGATCTCACCTACTCCTCCGCCCAAACTGTATATAAACCCGGCACCCTCCACTTTTCTCCTCAGCTCTACCCCAAGAGCGTTATAACACATCAACCTAAAACCCACACCGTCGAATCGAACACCCAAGAAAAGCCAAAAACAAGTTCGAGATTCTAGTTCGAGTATCTGTCAATGGCGGGTTTGGCCAAGACCGGCATGGAATGGCTCCAAGATCCACTGAGCTGGCTGTTCGTCGCCTCGGTGGTCTTCGTGGTGCTGCAGCGGCGCCGGCGGGGCAAGGCGCCGCCGTTTCCTCCCGGGCCGAATCAGCTGCCGATCGTCGGCAACATGTCGATGATGGACCAGCTGACCCACCGGGGCCTGGCGGCGCTGGCGAAGCAGTACGGCGGCCTTCTCCACCTCCGCCTCGGTAAGCTCCATGCCTTCGCCGTGTCGACGCCGGAGTACGCCCGGGAGGTGCTGCAGGCGCAGGACGGCGCCTTCTCCAACCGGCCGGCGACCATCGCCATCGCCTACCTCACCTACGACCGTGCCGACATGGCGTTCGCGCACTACGGGCCCTTCTGGCGCCAGATGCGCAAGCTGTGCGTGATGAAGCTCTTCAGCCGGCGCCGTCCGGAGACGTGGGTCGCCGTGCGCGACGAATCCGCGGCGCTCGTCCGCGCCGTGGCTCGGCGGAGCGGCGAGTCCGTGAACCTCGGCGAGCTCATATTCAACCTTACCAAGAACGTCATCTTCCGCGCCGCGTTCGGCGCGGGCGCCGCCGCGGACGGCGACGGCGGCAAGCAGGACGAGTTCATCGCCATCCTCCAGGAGTTCTCCAAGCTGTTCGGCGCGTTCAACATCGGCGACTTCTTCCCGTGGCTGAGCTGGGCGGACCCGCAGGGCATCAACGTGCGCCTCCGCGCCGCGCGCGCCGCCCTCGACGAGTTCATCGACAAGATCATCGACGAGCACATGGCGAGGGGCAAGAGCCCGGACGACGTCGACGCGGACATGGTGGACGACATGCTGGCGTTCCTCCCCGAGGCGAAGCCGAAGAAGGCCGCCGGCGACGGCGGGGACGAGCTGCAGAGCACGCTCCGCCTCACGCGTGACAACATCAAGGCCATCATCATGGTACGTGAACCGAAGCTTCCGTTTTTACTCCGCTAATCAATTACTAGCATATATGCGCACGAAAAACAGATCACCAACGCAATATTTCGCCAGATAATAATAAGCGGACAAAAAAAAGGCAAGCGAATTTCTTTAATACGTGGAAAAATCCTGAGTAGTAATTAAATGGTTTTTTTCTTTTTTGCGGGGAAATGGTTTGTTTATCACTACGCGTGGTTGATTAATGCCTGGCGAGTGCAAGCGATACCGGACGAATATTATTACTCCCTGCGTTCACTTTTATAAGTCATTTCAGACAACTTAAATTGGGCTGTTTTGTACATTGTCTGAAATGTCTTCAAGGTCTTATAAAAATGAACAAAGAAAGTAAATAAGATACTCCTACTCCAGTAAGGTACTCCTATACGGCGATCGAGCTATTTTTTAGATCAGTTTTTATCGTTCAGAAGTACTGCCATGCAAAAATATAAAATAAAATTTATATCATAGCAAAAAAAAAAAAGATCATGCAGATATCTCGATATATATGGCGATTAATGCACACGTCAATGTCCAGCACGTGGTGTAATAAACATCCGCTAGTCGCCTATACTGGTACTACCATGTTGGATGAAATTTCATCGAAATTCCAGCAAGTACTACTAATATATTTGTGGCAAATAAAATCAGAATTGCTAAATCTCAGTTAACTGAGACTTATCCAAGTTTTAGTCCAAGCTATTTTCGTGTGATCTTACATGGGTATTCGTGCAAAAATTTAATTTTAATTTTTCTTTCTTCTTTTTATATGTTCAATCACTTGAACCTTTTGTTTTTGCTTTCCCACAAAAAAAAGAACTTCTTTTTTTGCGGGGCTATCACTTGAACTTCTATCATATTTTCTCATAATTTGGCTCGAACTTGGAACTCAGATTCTGGTCATGTTACAGAAACAAAGAACATGACACAAACTAAGTTTTCGTTGGTGTCCAACATGCTCTGGAAATCAAATTCTAGAACCACGAAATTGCTCCCTTGAGCTTTCGTCCAACATTTTGCACCCTGAGCCGTAGCCGGGCAGACACCTCGCCTCAGAGCAGTAGAGACACGTGACGTGCACATTTTTCTCCCCTTCCGATCCAACCAACGAGGAAGTGGCGCCGTATACACTACGGGCAAGCTGCTTTCACGCATGAACCACCATGACGTAGTATACATACAATAGGGGTACGTTGGACCCTGCTAGTTATGTTTGTCTCCTTACGTACCGGAATGCCAACCCGCCCATCTTTATGACAACCTTACTATGCACCCAAGGCCAGATACCAATGCCAGATCCAGCACCAGAGCTGCCACTATATGTGTGGCCTTGTCGGAGCCCGGGGACCTATTTTGGTTTCATCGCGATCAAATCGGGGGCGCGGGCGGGCACACCTTGCCCATGTTTCATCATCCGGATCACGATCGGTGCCGGTGGATCTACTGTTGAAAGGTAGCGAGGCGCAGAAGCCGCGCCCATGCAGCCATTGCTGCTAGTAGTAATCTGCTGGTACTTTTCACTTCTCACTTGTTCATTCACGCCCACACGCGCCGTGCCCCTACATCATTTTTCAACCTCTACCAAAGAAAAACCAGGCGCTCAGAACCAAATCACGCACGAAAACTTCCAAGATTGGGGGCTCTGCGTCCGGCTTTTCATGGTGCGTCATTTTTTCAGCTTATGTCACACGCGGATAAGCTTTGGCCGGCCGGCCGGCCGACTTGGTGTTGTAGTGCGTGTCTCCTTCCCAAGTGAAAAAGGCTCTCAGCCTCTGACCACAACGGCTTCCCTAACCTTTGCACCAGCCACTTCGTTTTCTTTACTTTCACGGTAGGAGTCCTCATGTTTAAGACTCGGCCCTTCTGCGATTGAGTGCACGCCGAAAAGGAAAAACGACCGCGACCTCGTAACTTCGGGACCGGCACAGCACTACGCGTGCAAAATTGGACACCTATGCTATTTTGTCCTACTGCTACTGTACGCATGCATGACACCTGTTTGCGATCCCATTTCATGTACTGTATGTGTCGTCTGTACTGTATATACGCATGTATGACACCTGTATGTGATCTCATTTCATAAACTGACCTGTTGACGTGGATGTGTGGCAGGATGTGATGTTTGGCGGGACTGAGACGGTGGCCTCGGCGATCGAGTGGGCCATGGCAGAGATGATGCACAGCCCGGACGACCTCCGTCGATTGCAGAAGGAGCTCGCTGACACGGTGGGTTTCGACCGGAATGTGGATGAGTCGGACCTCGACAAGCTCCCCTTCCTCAAGTGCGTCATCAAGGAGACGCTCCGGCTGCACCCGCCCATCCCGCTGCTCCTGCATGAGACCGCCGAGGACTGCGTCGTCGGGGGCTACGCCGTGCCCCGAGCCTCCCGCGTCATGATCAACGTCTTCGCCATCGGCCGCGACGCCAAGGCATGGAAGGATCCGGACACGTTCCGGCCGTCCCGGTTCGTGGCGGGGGAAGGGGAGGCTGCCGGGGTCGACTTCAAGGGCGGCTGCTTCGAGTTCCTCCCGTTCGGGTCTGGTCGCCGCTCATGCCCCGGGATGGCGCTCGGCCTGTACGCGCTGGAGCTCGCCGTCGCTCAGCTCGCCCACGGCTTCAGCTGGGCGCTACCTGACGGCATGAAGCCATCGGAGCTTGACATGAGCGACATCTTTGGCCTCACTGCGCCGCGCGCTACAAGGCTCTACGCCGTGCCCACACCCCGGCTCACCTGCCCCTTGGTCGCTGACGTTAATGTCGACGGCAGGCACCAGGCGTGATATCATACGCTTGATTGTGCGATCTATAGTATCTACCAGCTGCACAGGGTGAAGGTGTTTGGTCAGAGGTGGTGGTGGCGCCATTGCAAGAGTTTGGTGGTTTTCTCTTGCATTTTGTTGTTGTTTTTCTTTTCTTTTTTTGTCTTTTGAATTCTGATACTGCAGAACATAATAAGTGGATCTCCATGCTACCTGCGTGCATGCTTAGGTTACCATTAAGCATATGATGGTGTTCTATGGCTAAGAACACAAACTGTATAAAACCGTATTGTTTGAGACTTGTTGGGCTAAGATTCTGTAAATTTTCTTCGTATGACAATTTCTTTTAAGAACGCAAAGATTGGCCTCTTCTTTTTCTTATCTCATAAGCGTGATATATTTGTTTGATGTGAAAATTTCGCATGGATTCGAACTCCACGCTTCTGCAATTTGCTTGGGTACTTCAAAGCCCGTCCGTCAGCATTTTACAGCGCACTTTTTTGGATTTTTAGAACAATAATTGTGCATTTGCACAAAAACAATACTTCATTCATCTCTACTGTCGAAAACGTTCTTATATTATGAGACGGAGCGAATATATAATAGTAGCACACAACTACTCAACTATGTTTATCAATGCATATACTTCCATATAGCTAGTTATTCTTTATTAACGACGAATATATATAGTTGACAGTAATGCAAATAACTAGTGTTATAGTGCAAGGACAAGATTAATTTAATCCTTAATTTAATAGTCGTCCTTCCACAGTTCGTACTGGATGATATTAAGTGTGATAATCTAGGCACTAATGTGGCTTGCGAGTACATGATTTGGTCACCAAACACAACAATATAGTTCGTAAGGAACATCTAGCTATCTGGTTTGTCCGGTAAAACAACCTTTTCCATATTTGTGGGTGAACTGATGGTATACCAACAAATAGTGCAACATTACTTTGGTACTCAAATAAGAAAGTTCAGCAGAACTGGTTAAGAAATGACTGTGTAAGAGCATCTCTAGAAGACCCCGTATAATTCCGACCCGCATAACGCATTTATAGTTTGAGGATGAACTGTTTTGCGGGGCGAAATCGTGCGCTGCAGAATAGACCCCGTATAAGAAACTGCATAATTTGAAAAAAAAATCACAGGAGAAATTGCAGTCACACTGATCATTCATAGTTTACCACATACTACATGATCATACATACATTCTACTATTACTACTAGAGGGGGGTGGGGATCTGCGGGCTCGAGGCGGCTACCAAAATGGACGGGCTCGCGGCGAGCGAGGCCGACGCGGTGGAGGAGCTCAGTCCTCCTCGTCGGAGCTGACAAGGTCGACGTACTTCTCCCTCTGCTCCTCGTGGATGCGCCGCCACTCGTCGTCCTTGTCCTTCGTGGCGAGGTTGACCGCAACCGCCTGCTTGAAAAGGAGGTCTTCGAGCTCCTCGTCGTGACGGTGGCGCTTCTCCTCCTCTCGCAAACTCCGTTCGGCAATGGCGGCCGCGACCGCGTTGACATCGCCGACGAAAGCTTCAGTCCCGACGACGCCTCAGCGCGCGATCTTCTCCGGCTCCTGCTCTACGGCGACAAGCTCGCCCTCCTCCGGCTGCTGCTTGACGGCGATGAGCTCCGCCCACTCCGTCTTTACGGGGAGAAGAGCCGCGCAGGAAGAGGAAGAGCTCGCGGCGGAGGAAGAGCCCGCAGCCGAGGAGTGATGTCGGCGGCTCGAAGGCCTTGGTTGGTCCACTTCTTGCCCGCGCGCTTCCTCGTGCCGTCCGCGCAAACACACCCCTCGCGCTCGGGGTCGCCGCCCCCGCCGGAGCTGCGGCCGGAGCTCCACATACGGCTCCACATGGCGGCTAGAGGCGAAAGTGGGCTCACTGGCGGCGAGAAATGCGAGGGATGGAGTGGGGAATTGCGGCGAAACGCGGCAGCGGGGAGATAGGGTTTTGACCCGTATCTGCCCCGCAAACCCATAGTTATACGGCTTTGCGGGTGAGGTTTGTGAAGGAAATATGCCCTAGAGGCAATAATAAAGTTATTATTTATTTCCTTATTTCATGTTAAATGTTTATTATTCATGCTAGAATTGTATTAACTGGAAACTTAGTACATGTGTGAATACATAGACAAAACAAAGTGTCCCTAGTATGTCTTTACTTGACTAGAACATTTATCAAAGATGGTTATGTTTCCTAACCATAGACATGTGTTGTCATTTGATGAATGGGATCATATCATTAGGAGAATGATGTGATGGACAAGACCCATTCGTTAGCTTAGCATTATGATCGTTACAGTTTCATTGCTACTGCTTTCTTCATGACTTATACATGTTCCTCAGACTATGAGATTATGCAACTCCCGAATACCGGAGGAACACCTTCTGTGCTATCAAACGTCACAACGTAGGTGATTATAAAGATGATCTACATGTGTCTCCGATTGTGTTTGTTGAGTAGGCATAGATCGAGATTAGGATTTGTCACTCCATGTATCGGAGAGGTATCTCTGGGCCCTCTCGGTAATGCACATCACTCTAAGCCTTGCAAGCATTGTGACTAATGAGTTAGTTGCGGGATGATGCATTAAGGAATGAGTAAAGAGACTTGCCGGTAACGAGATTGAACTAGGTATGAGGATACCGACGATCGAATCTCGGGCAAGTAACATACCGGTGACAAAGGGAACAACGTATGTTGTTATGCGATTTGACCGATAAAGATCTTCATAGAATATGTAGGAACCAATATGAGCATCCAGGTTCCGCTATTGGTTATTGACCGGAGATGAGTCTCGGTCATGTCTACATAGTTCTCGAACCCGTAGGGTCTGCACGCTTAACGTTCTGTGATGATCGGTATTATGAGTTTATGTGTTTTGATGTACCAAAGGTAGTTTGGAGCCCCGAATGTGATCACGGACATGACGAGGAGTCTCGAAATGGTCGAGACATAAAGATTAATATATTGGATGGCTACATTCGGACACCAGAAGGGTTTTGGGTGACCTCAAAGAAAACCAGAGTGCCGGGGGGGGGGGGTTACCGGAACCCCCCGGGGACTAATGGGCCTTAATGGGCCCTAGTGGAGAGAGAGAGGGGCCGGCCAGGGCAGGCCGCGCACCCCTCCCCTTGAGTACGAATAGGACAAGGGGGGCGGTGCCCACCTTGCATTTCCTCTCTCCCACTCCTTCCTCCCCCCTCCTAGTGGGACTAGGAAAGGGGAGTCCTACTCCCACTAGGAGGGGGACTCCTCCTCTTGGTGCGCCCTCCTAGGGCCGGCCAGCCTCCCCCTTGATCCTTTATATACGGGGGCAGGGGCACCCCATGATAGACAAGTTGATCATTGATCTCTTAGCCATGTGCGGTGCCCCCCTCCACCATAATCCACCTCGGTTATATCATAGCGGTGCTTAGGCGAAGCCCTGTTCCGGTAGCTTCATCAACATCGTCATCACGCCGTCGTGCTGACGGAACTCTCCCTCGAAGCTCTACTGGATCGTGAGTTTGTGGGACGTCACCGAGCTGAACGTCTGCAGATCGCGGAGGTGTCGTACGTTCGGTACTACGATCGGTCGATCGTGAAGACGTACGACTACATCAACCATGTTGTCATAACACTTCCGCTTACGGTCTATGAGGGTACGTGGACGACACTCTCCCCTCTTGTTGCTATGCATCACCATGATCTTGCGTGTGCGTAGGAAAATTTTTAAAATTACTGCATTCCCCAACAGAGGCATCCGAGCCAGGTTTATGCGTAGATGTTATATGCACGAGTAGAACACAAAGGAGTTGTGGGCGTGGGTATATAAATATTGCTTGCCGTCACTAGTTGATTCTTGATTCAACGGCATTGTTGGATGAAGCGGCTCAGACTAACATTACGCGTATGCTTATGCGAGACTGGTTCTTCCAACGTGCTTCGCACATAGGTGGCTAGTGGGTGTCTGTTTCTCCAACTTCAGTTGGATTGGATTCAATGAACAGGGTTCTTTTTGAAGATCAAAAAGCAATCACTATACCGTGTTGTGGTTTTTGATGCGTAGGTAAGAACGGTTCTTGCTCAGCCCGTAGCAGCCACGTAATACTTGCAATAGCAAAGTAGAGGACGTCTAACTTGTTTTTGCAGGGCATGTTGTGATGTGATATGGTCAAGACATGATGAGATATAAATTATTGTATGAGAAAATCATGTTTTGTTAAAGTTGTCGTCAACTGGAAGGAGCCTTATGGTTGTCTCTTCATTGCATAAGATGCAAGCGCCATATAATTACTTTACTTTATCGCTATGCGATAGCAATAGTTGGTTAGACGACCATGTGACGGCACGTTGATAGAGATCAAGATGATGGAGATCATGGTGTCATGCCGGTGATGATAGAGATCATGACGGTGTTTTGGAGATGGAGATCAAAGGCACAAGATGATGATGGCCATATCATGTCACATATTTTGATTGCATGTGATGTTTATCCTTTATGTATCTTATTTTGCTTAGTTTGGCGGTAGCATTATAAGATGATCTCTCACTAAATTTCAAGGTATAAGTATTCTCCCTGAGTATGCACCGTTGCGACAGTTCGTCGTGCCGAGACACCACGTGATGATCGGGTGTGATAAGATCTATGTTCACATTTAATGCACACGCGGAATACTCGGGTTAAACTTTACGAGCCTAGCATATGCAGATATGGCCTCGGAACTCTGGAGACCGAAAGTTCGAGCGTGAATCATATATTAGATATGATCAACATAGTGATGTTCACCATTGAAAACTACTCCATCTCACGTGATGATCGGACATGGTTTAGTTGATTTGGATCACGTGATCATTTAGATGACTAGAGGGATGTCTATCTAAGTGGGAGTTCTGAAGTAATATGATTAATTGAACTTTAATTTATCATGAACTTAGTCCTGATAGTATTTGCATAACTATGTTGTAGATAAATAGCTCATGATATAGCTCCTCGTTTATTTTTGATATGTTCCTAGAGAAAAACTATGT